GTTTATTGTCAATGCTGTGATGGTTAGGATCGAAGGCAGGGGAGTAAGAGAGATATGAGAGAGTTCTGGGTATCTTTGCTTCTTGGTAATCTGGGTATGATAGTAGTAGGAATTCTGGAGATGAACCGGGGCTGAGGAGAATCGGAATAGCGGAGACTGAATGGACTTCTGGAGGTAAGGATACAACAGTTAGTAAAGCTTGTAAGGAGTCTGGCAATGTTCAGGTAGTGAACGGTAGACCGGACACTGGAATGCTGAGTGGAGTGAGAAGATATAGCGGGCTTAATTGGTGATGCAGGTGCAGGTGATCAGAATTTAAGTGATTGTGATCGGGTGTGTGTCGGAGGAGGTGACTGTGCTGACGTGAGTGATTGCGATGATTTCCTGACAAGCGCAAGCTAGATTCAAGTGATTATTACGTTTTGAATATGGATAGTTTTCTTACAAAAACGCATCGATTCACTATTTTTACTAAAATTTTTATTTTTGGGTGAACTAACCCTTTAATCAGATTGTGCTGGTTGCATACATTTATGTAGTTATGTTGTCAGATTATTCATTAATAAATGCATATAACATGACCACAATTTCTGTAATTAGTCAGTAACACTATAAAGCTGTATCATTAGCCTGATACATTAATTCCTAAGGCCTCAAAATGATCGACATGATCAAAATGTTGCTGTTTTCTATTACATGTAGGCTACTGTATGTCATGGTTCACGTGCCTTTTTGCTGTGAAATCTTTAATAAACAAAAAAATTACTTTTACATTTTTAGTTATAGTTGATATGAGATGGACTGAAGCAACATAGCTTTACTTTAAAAATCATGTTAAAGTTAAACAACAGATTTTTTTTGAACAAGATGTCAGTAAGCCCTTTTGTTTAGAACAAATATCTCTTAAAAGTCACCCACAACATTAAGTGTTTGTAATGACATTCACTTCTATTCTAAATGCCTCACCATAACCTCGACTTTTGCTTCTCTAATCTCCTAATAATATTAAGGAATATTTAATAATACCATTAACACTAATGGAAATCTCGGTTGTCACACCTGTAAAACAGTGTTATTATTATTATTGTTAACTAAAATAAAATAAAACATTAAAAAAAATAAACATTTTCACTACTTTTCTCATTTTAATTTAGTTTAAGTTGATCTACTAAAATAACTAAAGCTACATAAAATAAAACAAAAAAACTATAGATATATATTTAATTAATAATAATAATAATAATGAAAATATATATAAAAAAATCTCATTCAAAATAGTAACAAAAATATAAAAACTACTATAAAAATGTTTTTGTTATTATTGCCTTAAGAAACAAAATACAAAGGATTTTTATTCTGTAATGTCTGTCTACATAGAAAACTAAAACGTATTTTTAAAATCTAAACATCAAGTGCAGGTGAATCACTGACACGTGCTCATATATGCTCAATTTATTGTTCATTGAGTGTGTTCACCTGCAAACTGAGTAGTATGAGTGTAAAGGTAACTCATCTTCTAATGTCTGATTTCTCTGAAAAACTGCAGATCATTACAATGAAAGATAATAGGCTATGTCGTCTTCTTCTACCATAAATCATAGGCAGCTGTGTGCATGCATCAAGATCAATGTACACAACAGTAATTTAAATATCATATATCGCCAAATCAACACTGAACAGCAGTTGATGTAGGGGCTAATGCTTTATTGACTCAGTCTAGTTTTCCAAAAGCATATATTTTAGAGCAAACAGCGCAAATAAGCAGGGTGCAAGTGTCCCAGACAGATGATTGCACTGGGGCTTCAAGACTAAACGAATTAAAAACTCTTCGTTACCGCACCTCAAGACATAATTTTAGAGGTAGTAACGAGGCTTGAGCCAATGATAACGCAGATATGAGAGAGAGAGAGAGAAATGTATCTCTTTTCGGCAGCAGCCCCTCTATTAATAGCAAAACTGCATCAAGAACAGCACCGTTATTACCTCTATAGCAAAACATTTAATTTCGTGGGAAAATGTAAAATAGTTTATCATTTTTATCCTAATAGTTTTTATTTTTATTGGATGGTCATTGTCGTTGTGCGTTTTGGTTCTTTTGCTGTTGTAGTATGGGATGATTTTAGACTCAATGCCGCACATTAATGTAATTCATAATTCTACAGACACCGGTTTAAAGGCATTTGTTTCAGTGTAGTAACGCAAATTCGCGAATTTTTCAGATCGTGTACACCTTAATGAATTGCAATAGGCCTTGTTCATTGGTAGTTGTGTGTGCAAGAGAGTGAAATGCTGCAAACTGCGAAAAATGAAGTCTGAAATTTATCTCTTTTCGGCAGCAGCCCCTCTATTAATAGCAAAACTGCATCAAGAACAGCACCGTTATTACCTCTATAGCAAAACATTTAATTTCGTGGGAAAATGTAAAATAGTTTATCATTTTTATCCTAATAGTTTTTATTTTTATTGGATGGTCATTGTCGTTGTGCGTTTTGGTTCTTTTGCTGTTGTAGTATGGGATGATTTTAGACTCAATGCCGCACATTAATGTAATTCATAATTCTACAGACACCGGTTTAAAGGCATTTGTTTCAGTGTAGTAACGCAAATTCGCGAATTTTTCAGATCGTGTACACCTTAATGAATTGCAATAGGCCTTGTTCATTGGTAGTTGTGTGTGCAAGAGAGTGAAATGCTGCAAACTGCGAAAAATGAAGTCTCAAAATCCAAATGAACCGAACAAGATCGACTCGAACAAATGCACGCTTGTGACCTGACCCACAAATGCAGATTCCTTTTTGCATGAGCAAGTTATGATGTATTAATGCAGAACAGACCATTTTTATTCACAAACATGTCTGTATTTGTACAAATCACTGCACAATCATTTAATCCCGAATTCCACAGATTCAAATTGAAAGGCATTTGTTTGTGGTTAGTAAGATACATGCATTAAATTGATGTAGTGCATGGATAATTGTGCGTGCATCTATTAATCATTTTGAGTCTAAAATCATCCCATACCTGTAGGACCTTTGAAATAACTGAAATCATTTGGCGAAGTGATATGGACATGTATTGCGGTCAAGAGCTGCCTGGAACCAGATCAATCAGATTCAAGTTGGTATAAAAGTAATTAATTCAGTTACATTTTTAATTGATTGACAGTTCTCAGAAACCAATAGAAACCTAGCAGGGAACGCATGCAGAAATGTAGTTTGTGGATTCGCAAACATGATGGCACCAAGATTGCTGATAAACACCCCAAACCAGATGAAATGGATTGTTTTATTGAGTTATTACTTTCATCCAACACCAAACTTTGACCATTTGAAATGTTCGTCTAAGCTCTAGCTTTCCCATTCTCCACAGAATATTGTGACAGCACTGAACTGCAATGAATAACCATCATAAATCTTGGTAAACCAAGGTTGACATATAGTACTTCCAATATGGAGTACAGAAACAGAGCCAGAAACAAAACTCAAACCAAGATACCCTGAAAGCTTGTTAACTAGCTCAACAAAACATTTGTCTAACCAGTAGAGAAGATCATATAAAATTAGCTGATCAAAGCAGCCTTTAAAGTTGTTTTTTTTTTTTTCTGTGTCCAAACAATAGACATTTTATGATGTTAGTAGTTTTGGCATAACTTACACATGACACAGTCTTAAAGGTTTTGTATTAAAAGCAACTTAAAGGAATAGTTCACCTAAAAATGAACATCCAGTCATCATTTTCTCACCCTCATGTTATTCCAAAACTCTTTTCTTTTTTTTTCTTTTTTTCAGTGGAAAAAATATTTTTTAATAATGTTGGTAATCTTTGAAGAATGTTGGTAACCAAATCGCTTCGGTTCCCATTCACCTCCACTGTATGAATAAAAATGGGAACAGAAAATATTTGGTTGCCAACATTCTTGGAACAACGTGAGGCTGAGTAAATGATGACCGAACTTTCATTATTGTCTGAACTATCTCATTAATACCCTGAGATCCACGCATTTTATCAGCACAGTTTTAGAAATCCTCCTTTAATACACATCAGTCGGCAGTTTGAAATCCTTGAAGCAATAAAAGGAGATGTCCCCATGATCCACCACTGCAAAAGTGACTGGGACGTCTCCGCTTTGGAAGGACAGCTGCTTCATGGCATTCAGATCAGGCACTGGACCGTCAAAACTGTCAATGTACAAAGACAGAAATAAGTTGGATTGATCAGATCAGGACTTTTACAGACATTACGGATTTCTTGTCACTTGATACAGATCCCGAGCATGTACGATTTTATCAGGAGCCAGATATATGCAAGCTCATACATTTCTATTTACATGCCATAGAAAATGTAAAAAAAAAAGTGCATCACTTAATCAGACAGCTGCAAAAACATAACTGATCTTCCAGTATGATCCAGCCACTGTATAACTAAGGCAAAATGAACGTGATGGCACCAAGATTGCTGATAAACACCCCAAACCAGATGAAATGGATTGTTTTATTGAGTTATTACTTTCATCCAACACCAAACTTTTGACCATTTGAAATGTTCGTCTAAGCTCTAGCTTTCCCATTCTCCACAGAATATTGTGACAGCACTGAACTGCAATGAATAACCATCATAAATCTTGGTAAACCAAGGTTGACATATAGTACTTCCAATATGGAGTACGGAAATAGAGCCAGAAACAAAACTCAAACCAAGATACCCTGAAAGCTTGTTAACTAGCTCAACAAAACATTTGTCTAACCAGTAGAGAAGATCATATAAAATTAGCTGATCAAAGCAGCCTTTAAAGTTGTTTTTTTTTTTTTCTGTGTCCAAACAATAGACATTTTATGATGTTAGTAGTTTTGGCATAACTTACACATGACACAGTCTTAAAGGTTTTGTATTAAAAGCAACTTAAAGGAATAGTTCACCTAAAAATGAACATCCAGTCATCATTTTCTCACCCTCATGTTATTCCAAAACTCTTTTCTTTTTTTTTCTTTTTTTCAGTGGAAAAAATATTTTTTAATAATGTTGGTAATCTTTGAAGAATGTTGGTAACCAAATCGCTTCGGTTCCCATTCACCTCCACTGTATGAATAAAAATGGGAACAGAAAATATTTGGTTGCCAACATTCTTGGAACAACGTGAGGCTGAGTAAATGATGACCGAACTTTCATTATTGTCTGAACTATCTCATTAATACCCTGAGATCCACGCATTTTATCAGCACAGTTTTAGAAATCCTCCTTTAATACACATCAGTCGGCAGTTTGAAATCCTTGAAGCAATAAAAGGAAAGTTGTTTTTTTTTTTTTCTGTGTCCAAACAATAGACATTTTATGATGTTAGTAGTTTTGGCATAACTTACACATGACACAGTCTTAAAGGTTTTGTATTAAAAGCAACTTAAAGGAATAGTTCACCTAAAAATGAACATCCAGTCATCATTTTCTCACCCTCATGTTATTCCAAAACTCTGTGACTTTCTTTTCTTTTTTTTTCTTTTTTTCAGTGGAAAAAATATTTTTTAATAATGTTGGTAATCTTTGAAGAATGTTGGTAACCAAATCGCTTCGGTTCCCATTCACCTCCACTGTATGAATAAAAATGGGAACAGAAAATATTTGGTTGCCAACATTCTTGGAACAACGTGAGGCTGAGTAAATGATGACCGAACTTTCATTATTGTCTGAACTATCTCATTAATACCCTGAGATCCACGCATTTTATCAGCACAGTTTTAGAAATCCTCCTTTAATACACATCAGTCGGCAGTTTGAAATCCTTGAAGCAATAAAAGGAGATGTCCCCATGATCCACCACTGCAAAAGTGACTGGGACGTCTCCGCTTTGGAAGGACAGCTGCTTCATGGCATTCAGATCAGGCACTGGACCGTCAAAACTGTCAATGTACAAAGACAGAAATAAGTTGGATTGATCAGATCAGGACTTTTACAGACATTACGGATTTCTTGTCACTTGATACAGATCCCGAGCATGTACGATTTTATCAGGAGCCAGATATATGCAAGCTCATACATTTCTATTTACATGCCATAGAAAATGTAAAAAAAAAAGTGCATCACTTAATCAGACAGCTGCAAAAACATAACTGATCTTCCAGTATGATCCAGCCACTGTATAACTAAGGCAAAATGACAAAACCAACACAGCAGGTAATAAGTCAGCAGACTCATTTCAGTGTATTGAGGCAGTGTGTTTACCTGCAGACACACATGCGGGTGTAAGGCTTTCCAGGGAGGCTCTTTTTAAACTCTGCCACCGTGTCCGGTTGGTAAACATCAAAACTAATCTTCCACTGGTCTGACGGGGACAAGCTGAGAAAACAGATTGTTTAAAAAAGCAGTTCAGTCATCTCAAACCCTTGTTTGACTTCAATTTTGAGACAAAGGGCAAAGCTACCAGGTTACTCCGCTTCAGTACATGACTTATTATGAGGTTTCACAAAAGCTAATTTAGCAAAGGACAGTACAGGATAGTAAAGGTGGGCTATACTCACCTGGAAACCCCCTCAGACCAGCTCGAAGACTTGATAATGCTGATCTGGTCCAGCAGTTCACCTGCACCAGAACAGGACAAAAATATGAATGTCACATGGAAGACAAAAATGCCATTTTCAATGAACAGTTCAAAAGGTGCCCCATTAACTTAAGCGCAAAAAATATGTCCTTCGGAGATACTTTTTTTTTTTTTTTTTTTAAAGAATACAAACCTATTTTAATTATTAAAAATGATTAACGCATATCCTTTTATTTACATATTATAAAATAATCAAATTGAAAATAACCTTTTAAATACAACTAACAATAAAAAAAATTGTTAAAGTTACTTAATGAGTATTAATTAGGTATCATGTACTTACAATGAACCATTAATATTAATCTTAATTTCTATACAAATACATTTTCAACATTTAAATTGCATAAATTACTATTACTCAATATACTGTAAACAAACATGAATTAATTCTATTATTATTATTATACAGTATTATTATTATTGATATTATATTTATTTATTTAGTATTTTTGTTACCATTGCTGTTATTGTTAGCTAAAACAACTATTAAAATTAGTCTAAATAAAATAAATGTCAAAAAAAAAAAATAAATAAAATACTCAAACTAAAATTAGAAATGCTTTTAAATTTTACTTAAAGGGATAGTTCACCCAAAAATGAAAATTTTGCCATTAATTTCTCACCCTCATGTCTTTCTAAACCCGTAAGCCCCTCTTTCATCTTCGGAACACAAATTAAGATATTTTTGATGGAATATGAGAGCTCTCTGACCCTCCCATAGACAGCGAGGTAACTACCACGATCAAGACCCAGAAACGTTGCAAGGAGATCGGTAAAATAATCCATGTGACATCAGTGGTTCAACCGCAATTTTACGAAGCTACGAAAATACTTTTTGTACGCAAAGAAAACAAAAATAATGACTTTATTCAACAATTCGTATCCTCTGAGTCACCCTGGACAACGTAGAAAACGTATCAGCGTGACACAGAATAGCATACGCGGTTTACGTTCAGCGGATACTCTCCAAAATGGCACCAGGGTGACGCGGAGGAGACGAATGGTTGAATAAAGTCGTTATTTTTGTTTTCTTTGCGTACAAAAAGTATTCTCGTAGCTTCGTAAAATTACGGTTGAACCCCTGATGTCACATGGACTATTTTACAGATCTCCTTGCTACGTTTCTGGGTCTTGATCGTGGTAGTTACCTCGCTGTTTATGGGAGGGTCAGAAAGCTCTCAGAATTCATTAAGAATATCTTAATTTGTGTTCCGAAAATGAACGAAGGTCTTATGGGTTTAGAACAACATGAGGGTGAATAATTAATGACAGAATTTTCATTTTTGAGTGAACTAACCCTTTAAACTAAAACCAAAATAACGTACCTCTATAGAAATATAAAAAAGAAATAATGACAAAAACAAGTAATAATATTACTTGTTTATTATTACTAGAAAATAAAACAACACTGTTTATTGCTATGCTGTTTATGGGAGGGTCAGAAAGCTCTCAGAATTCATTAAGAATATCTTAATTTGTGTTCCGAAAATGAACGAAGGTCTTACAGGTTTAGAACAACATGAGGGTGAATAATTAATGACAGAATTTTCATTTTTGAGTGAACTAACCCTTTAAACTAAAACCAAAATAACGTACCTCTATAGAAATATAAAAAAGAAATAATGACAAAAACAAGTAATAATATTACTTGTTTATTATTACTAGAAAATAAAACAACACTGTTTATTGCTAATTTATTATATTATTTTATGGATTTATTATTCTTTCTATTTATTTAGAACAATAATACATTCCTTGGCATTAACCTAGATTAATAAATGCCATAAACAAATACTGTTTGATAAACATAGTATGACATTCACTAATATGAACACTACTATTCATTAATATTAATGTTAACATATGGAACCTTACTGTAAAGTGTCACAGTAGTATAATAAACCTTATAAGAAAGAATAGCCAAACACTTCTTAATTCTTATGTTTGATTCGCAAAATAATACATAAAGACTACAGATGCATTTAGTCAACAACAACAACATATCTGTGTCATTTCTGTGCCACTAGCAACGCTAAACAACAGACCTGCAATCTGTTCGTTTGAGTGGTCTCTTTGGGTCAGACATAACATCACTGGCTCAAGACGAAATCTGTTCATGCATTGTCTACATGAAAGTGTGTGTTCTTACGGTGTGAGGTGCACTGGCCCGGCTGAGTGAGCGGCGTCACCTCCTTCTCCCACAGATGCACTGGTCTATCTTTCTGCCTCCGTCTCCTCCTGTCCTCCAGCAGCTGCAAATACTCGGCCCAGTTCCTGCAGTGCCGCACCTCTCGGTCGCTGTTCATATCCCTGTGATAGCGATCCCTGTCTCTCTGACGCTCCCTTTCCCGCCGCGACAGCTTCTCCTGCTTCACGTTGAGTCTGCTGAGCTATTCTTTCTATTTATTTAGAACAATAATACATTCCTTGGCATTAACCTAGATTAATAAATGCCATAAACAAATACTGTTTGATAAACATAGTATGACATTCACTAATATGAACACTACTATTCATTAATATTAATGTTAACATATGGAACCTTATTGTAAAGTGTCACAGTAGTATAATAAACCTTATAAGAAAGAATAGCCAAACACTTCTTAATTCTTATGTTTGATTCGCAAAATAATACATAAAGACTACAGATGCATTTAGTCAACAACAACAACATTTTAAACATATCTGTGTCATTTCTGTGCCACTAGCAACGCTAAACAACAGACCTGCAATCTGTTCGTTTGAGTGGTCTCTTTGGGTCAGACATAACATCACTGGCTCAAGACGAAATCTGTTCATGCATTGTCTACATGAAAGTGTGTGTTCTTACGGTGTGAGGTGCACTGGCCCGGCTGAGTGAGCGGCGTCACCTCCTTCTCCCACAGATGCACTGGTCTATCTTTCTGCCTCCGTCTCCTCCTGTCCTCCAGCAGCTGCAAATACTCGGCCCAGTTCCTGCAGTGCCGCACCTCTCGGTCGCTGTTCATATCCCTGTGATAGCGATCCCTGTCTCTCTGACGCTCCCTTTCCCGCCGCGACAGCTTCTCCTGCTTCACGTTGAGTCTGCTGAGCCACGGGGACAAATCGCAGCCGCCCACCTCCAGCGCTCCGGGCAGCAGGCTGGGGTCTGGAGACGCCAGAGAGACGAAGCGGCTCCGGCGCGAGCCCAGGTCCGGGAAAGAGATGCTGCTGAAGTCCCAGCGAGGAGCTGCGCTTTGGGCTTGAGCAGGAGACAGCTGGACATCCCCCTCCATCCACCACGTCCTGTCAGAGACATCGGCGGACTGCATGGGCTCCTCCAGAGGCGGCTCTGTCTTGACTAGCTCCTCACTTTGATCTTCAGTTGTCGTCTTCTCCTCTGGTGGTGTGTTTTGTTTGTCACTGATGCCGCATGGCGATCAAGACAGAGATGAGAAGACCGAGTCAGTTTAAGCAGGATTTAGCAGCCACCCAGGCAAAATTTCAGGCCACCAAAACTAATTGATTAATATTTCAAGCCGTTTTGTCCCTGCTCATATGACTTTATCATCCTCTTGTATCACCCGACCTGTTTGCACCATTAGAATGATTTCTGAAGGATCATGTGACACTGAAGACTGGAGTAATGATGCTGCAAATTCAGCTTTGCATCACAGGAATAAATTACATTTGAAAAATATTAGTTATTTTAAATTGTAATAATATTTTACAATATTACTGTTTTGGCTGTATTTTGGATCAAATAAATGCACGCTTGGTGAGCAGAAGAGACTTCTCAATACAAAGGCTTCAAATGTGCCTCACTCAATCATATTTTGATTGTAATTCAGCTGTTGCACTGATTCCAAACTCATCGTTCGTTTAGCATAATCTTTTTGATTTGCATTCAATCAGGTTCCAAATAAAAACAAGAAATTAATCAAATGAGATCAAAGTATCTTAATTAAAAGGAAAGTTTAATAGGTTGTGTATTTAATAAAATGTTTATTAACACTTTATTTTATGGTGTCCTTGTTACACATTTGACATGTACAGTACTTTTATATTAACAATTAATGATGCATACTTACATGCAAGTAACTCTAAGCCAAACTCTAATCCTAACACTAACCATATAGTAAGTACATGTAGTTAATTAATATTACTCAGTACTTAAATGTATACTTACACTGTAGCAAGGACACCTTAAAATAAAGTGTAACCAAATATTATTTTTATTTATATTTTAACTATATTTTTAATTATTTTTAACAATATTTAATTATCATGCTACTTCTCAGATTTGAATAAGATTTAGCTTCTTATTGGTCAATACAGCATTTCAGTTAAAATTTTATCGTCATCTTGAATCATCTGACCGGTTTCCATCATGCAGTGCAGACTAATTTGTATAGTACTGTTTTGTATAGGGATTTGAATACACCCATTTGAATTATGGGAAGCCAAACATCTCAAGTGACTAGCTGCTGATATAATGAAGTTCATTATATCTAAAAATGTTTCTTTTTAAGATATTTAAAAAAGGGAGTTTTGCCCTTTTTAATGCAGAAAAGTATTACGATTTAAAATAATATTTGTAAAATATTTGAATGAGCTCATTTAAACTCTTCTATTGGGCTAAAAAAAAGAATTATTATAAAAATGTTTATTAAAAAGATATTGATAAAAGACATGATTATGCTTTCATTCTAATTTAATGCATCTCTTAGAATATCTGAAGTCAAATGAGGCTGGATTTTTTTTCTACAATCAGAGAACAGATTTTACAAAGGAGGGAGACACAGCTTGTTCCATAAATCATGGACGTTAAGCTTTTACAGTAAGACTTGCTTGTAGATTCTACTAGTGCTGGGCGCTAGTGACCAAAATGACCCAAAATTTATATCACCGTATTTTTCAAAATTATACCGGTTTCACGGTACATGATGGGTTTTTTTTTCCATGCATGACCGGGTGTTAACCATATTTTCTACTGATTGAGAGAGAAAATACTGCAGTATACTGACTTAGAATGTCCTATTTTACTGTCATGATGAGTGAATATTGTCAAAAAATACCACACTAAATAGTGACTAAACACGACCCCTTTTAATACATGTTAACCAGGAGTCACTCATTTATAATCGCGGCATCATCTGATAAAATCAACATGCATCTACACTGAAGAGCGGCTATATTACTTTTTTGTCTCATGCAGCGCACTGCCTGCGTCTGAGTAACCAACTAAAAAAAAAGTGCATGTGATCTTAACAGACGAACTACGCTCATATTCATAATTCCAAATAATCAGTAAGCGACAGGTGCTAGGAAACGCTGTTTTGTACTCATTTATTGACGAGTCGGCTGCGGTGCGGCCAACTGAATGCGCTGCTTCTCTGCCGCTCACTGCACAGAACAGACGCCGAGAGAGGTGACACTTCTCCGGGAAAGTCAGACCTCGCGTTCGCGGGACAGCACTGGCGAAATCTTCCAACTGAACCATAGCTAAGATTTATCCAAAAAAGTCGCTAGGTTTGTCAGTATGAATATTCTATGGAAAAAAGCCACTAAAAGGGTCTGAAACTTGCTAAATCTAGTGCTAAAGTCATGCTCGTGTGTGTTTGAGACGCGGGAGCTGATGGCAGGGGGCGGTGGATATTTGTGGCAGTCAATGTGGATATTGTGGATGAGTTCTTCTGTCATCACGTTCTATTAGTTCTACAGCTTCAGTTTCGGAACTTTCACGCTTAGTAACACATACAGCTGTTCCCTCACCACAGTGCAACAGTGAAAAGGGACCCCTTTCAAACAGTGTCGCGTTCCGAACGTTGTTTAAGCGACATACCTGTATTGCGGTATTTTAAAAATTCATATCATAACAAAAATTAACACCGGTATTCGGTATGAACCGGTATACCGCCCAGCACTAGATTCTACTATATACCTACATCAATCAAAATCCTAAATGTCGTGTATAGGACCTGAAGAAGAAACATAGGTGGGAAACATCACATGTACCTGGACACAGGACTTAGAGAGCGCTTCCTCTTCAGCTGTTTTCTCTGTTTGTCCGATGATGATGCTGGCAGATTCAGCTGTCTCTCATATGTGGACGGGACGGAACTGTGTGAAAGATGATTTTATTGGAAATATTAGATGAGAGTATAGAAATATTGCATGGAAAGTTGGTAGAAACACGCAAATGATTGTACTGAGAATAAGTACATGATTGTTACCTGGGGTCAAATCTGTTCACAACATACCCAAGCCTTTTCAAATGTCCAAAAACCTAAATTAAAGACGACAAATTACACTTACGAAGGTTTAAAGGTGCACTCGGTATGCTTTTGTTGTCTATTTCGCTCTTCTTTGTCTCAGTGGTTTTGAACTCTGTATTGACAGTGTACATGTACATCATCTCAAAAAAAAAGTTAAGAACTATTTTAATGGCAAAAAATTCTGAGTGCACCGGTTAATGACAGATGACACATGAGACAAACCAACCTGATACTGATGAAGAGTCAGAGTCTCACGAGAGAGAAACCGCTCATATCCCTCCTGAATGGATAAAGGAAGGTCCCGGTAAAACACCTGCACATTACCCTGAATCACAAACAGGACATGGCAAACATATAGTTTACACAAAAATATAAAGCAACTCAAGTGTTTTCAACACTGATGACAATCAGTGTATTAGAATGATTTCTGGAGGACCATGTGACACTGAAGCTTTGCATCACAGAAATAAATGACAATTTAACAGATATTAAAATAGAAACCAGTTAGAAACCTTTTCAAGGGACCGTACCTAATTGGACAGTTGACTCAAAAAGCCATTTCATGGACAGTCGTGGGCTATTCCTTCGTTATCTCTACATTAATTAAGCAGGTAAAAGGCCTGGAGTTGATTCTAAGTGTGCCGTTTGCATTTGGAAGCCATTGCTGTGAACCCACATCATGCAGTTTAATTCTGTTGTGGTGGCATACAGAGCCGAAATTATGGAAACTGTGTCAGTGTCCAAATATACATGGAGCTAACTGTACAAATGAACATTTTATCAAGTAATAATCAAGTAAACGTGCTTCCGTCCAGTAAATGTTCATCTTAAAATACTACTAACTGCACAAATATACAGTTACGATGGTATGTAAAACGTGATATAAATAAGAGTATGAAAGTGTCCACTCACACATTCCATAAGGTAAAGAGCCTCTTCAGGAAGCAGGTATTGCTTGCCTCTCTCTGAAAAACCCATCGTCTGCCAAAACTTCCCCTGGAAAACATGGCATAATTACTGAGAGTGGCCTAGCTAGGAACAGATGGCGATTTCATTTGGTGTCTGTCATGGACTCAACTGCTGGTGACTGCAGCTCCACTAGTCTTTCGTCAGGGATCCAGACAGCTTTCACTAGATTCCCTCTGTGCAGACGGATAAGACACACAAACACAGCACCACATTTCTTTCTGTCTTCTTAGCTGTCGTGTGTTGTGTAGTAAGTGAGTTTTTTATGAAACCACTCACAGTCTCTCGACTCTCTCCTCGGCCAGGAGCGTCCAGTGCTCGTCCAGACTCTGCTGCAGACGGGCCGTCTGCTGCTCCGACCCACTGGGCAGGAAGTCTTTCTGACCCCTCACCGGTATCTTATGGCTCCGGGACCTCGCCTCAAACAGCTCTGATGGACTGCATGCAAAGCCAAGACAAATACATAGAAACGGGATAGACAAAAAACATATGTAACACAGTTGACATGTTAACATGGTCTCATACTGACAAAATCAAGATGATAAAACAGAGACAGATCTTTTCTTCCATATTGTGACGTACATCAGAGTGAAACACATTAACAGTAAAAAAAAAAAATGTTGTTGACTAGATGCTAAAATGTGGCCGTTGAACTCAAAACTGGAGGAAGATGAACATGAGATGGCGGGGACGGAGTTTAAGATGCAGTTATAGCATTTTGATTTAACATTACGAGGAGAATTATTTTATTATTGTTATTTTTTTTTTTACAATAAAATATATAACGCCTGAATAAGTTAATAAATAATAATAAGTGAATAAATTAGTGCATTTTTATTTTAATCCAACTTTTTTTTTGTTATATGAACTTCTATAAACTTATGCATGTATAATTGTATTGCTTTACCTTTGTCATAAACCCATACATTAAATGTCACAATATATAAAAAATACATTTATACTAATATTATGATGTTTAAAATAGAGCGATATTTTGCCGATAACACCGTTTTGCCGATGTTATCGGCCAATATGAGCCTGTCACCGATAAATCGGTATTGCCATTTTTTACTCCCTAATATCGGTATCGGCATTTTTTTACTCCCTAATATCGGTATCGGCATTTTTTTTTACTCCCTAATATCGGTATCGGCATTTTTTACTCCCTAATATCGGTATCGGTCCCAAAAAACCCATATCGGTCGGGCTCTAGTTTAAAACCATGAACATACTTGAAACATTACAATTCTGATTGTGTGAAAATCATTAGTATCAATTATTTACACAAATCATGAATGTCTCGGTTTATCATTTTCACTCGAACATGCTTGCGACGTAAAGTAAAAACAAGGTTACTTTAAAACACTTTAGAGCTGAACATTTCTATTGTGTCATTTGCAATCAAGCTGTAATTGTCGAATTATGCGACTAGTGTGAAATTATTATGCAATAACCCCCGTGAAGCCGTGGTTTACAGTGAATTTATAACAGCTAAGGGGCGTTGTTAGGTACGACAAGAAGCTGGAGTGCCTAAAACCTCCTTAGCTGTTATAAATTCACTGTAAACCACGGCTTCCCGGGGCTTATTGCATTTATAAACCGGTTATTCCGTATACGTAGCAAGGGTTCACAAAATAAAACAGAGTCATGATATAAATAATAACAGTAGTCTTCCACCAAACAATGTAGTTCCTCTGAAACAGTTGTGGTTGCAGAACAACACACAGAAGTAAACAAAGGTGTATGTTTTTAGTGCAACTACAAACAAATCAGAATCAAGGACCGGAAATATCCATTTTATAATACAGAATAATCTGAGCTGTGGTGAGAATGACAACCTTTCACCATGTTTAAAAAAAAAAGGACAAACTTCTACTGTCTACTATTGGAAATGTTTGGTAGACAAATGTGATGCTGTGTTTGTTTTAAAGGAGCACTCATAGAAACACCAGCCATAAATATCACCTGTACTGTACTGTACTGTACTGTGTAACATGCTCGGATGGAAACAAATGTGAGTTGATCCTCATTAAAAAAACTGCAGCAGACACATTTCTTGTGTCACGTGGTCTAACTTTTGCTTGCTTGTTTGCTGGCTAGCGCATGTTTCCTGTTTCCAGCATGACACAGGGCTGTTACTTCTGTTTGTGTTACTGCAAGAACAATTCAATAAACTAACGTTTTCTGTCTTTGTTACAATGAATAAATGATGGCGGTTACCTGAGCAGCTCCTCATAAACATTGTGTTTGTGAGCATCTGTGGCTGTGTCTCTGTCTGCCATGTTTACTTCTGTCTGTCTGTCGCTGTCGTTTCAGGGTCCTAGTGCGCAAAGGGTCTAGACACGATACATGCGATTGAGCGCCTTTACCAGTAGGTGGCAGCACAGCCCATAGTACACATACGAGTCGTGCAGGGGTTACGTATTTGTGTAGGCCAAAACAAAGATGCATTTAACACTTCCGGTTACATTTTCCTGATATCAATGTTATGTGTTACTGCAAGAACAATTCAATAAACTAACGTTTTCTGTCTTTGTTACAATTAATAAATGATGGCGGTTACCTGAGCAGCTCCTCATAAACATTGTGTTTGTGAGCATCTGTGTCTCTGTCTGCCATGTTTACTTCTGTCTGTCTGTCGCTGTCGTTTCAGGGTCCTAGTGCGCAAAGGGTCTAGACACGATACATGCGATTGAGCGCCTTTACCAGTAGGTGGCAGCACAGCCCATAGTACACATACGAGTCGTGCAGGGGTTACGTATTTGTGTAGGCCAAAACAAAGATGCATTTAACACTTCCGGTTACATTTCTTGATATCAATGTTTTGTGTGTGTGTGTGTGTGTGTACCTGGTATTTTTCATGTTATGGGGACCAAATGTTTTTGAGGTCCCCATGAGGAAACAAGCTTATAAATCATACAGAATGAGTTTTTGAGAAAGTAAAAATGCAGAAAGTTTCCTGTAAGGGGTAGGTTTAGGGGGAGGGTTGGTGTAGGGCAATAGCACATACAGTTTGTACAGTATAAAAACCATTACGCCTATGGGATGTCCCCATAAAACGTGTGTGTGTGTGTGTGTGTCCCTTGTATTTATCATGTTATGGGGTCTAAGTGTCCCCACAAGGATAGTAATACTAGTAACTTTTGACCTTGTGGGGACATTTTTGAGGTCCCCATGAGGAAACAAGCTTATAAATCATGCAGAATGAGTTTTTTTGAGAAAGTAAAAATGCAGAAAGTTTCCTGTAAGGGGTAGGTTTAGGGGGAGGGTTGGTGTAGGGCAATAGCACATACAGTTTGTACAGTATAAAAACCATTACGCCTATGGGATGTCCCCATAAAACGTGTGTGTGTGTGTGTGTGTGTGTGTGTGTGTACTTTGTATTTATCACGTTATGGGGACCAAATGTCCCCACAAGGATAGTAATACTAGTAACTTTTGACCTTGTGGGGACATTTTTGAGGTCCCCATGAGGAAACAAGCTTATAAATCATACAGAATGAGTTTTTTTGAGAAAGTAAAAATGCAGAAAGTTTCCTGTAAGGGGTAGGTTTAGGGGTAGGGTTGGTGTAGGGCAATAGCACATACAGTTTGTACAGTATAAAAACCATTACGCCTATGGGATGTCCCCATAAAACATGGAAACACAACGTGTGTGTGTGTGTGTGTGTTTAATTAAATGCCTGAAATACGGTCTGTGTTTAACACAAGCTTAATATATTGCCACATTTTATTATACAACATAAAATACATCAGTAATACCTCCTTGTGATTTTTAAAGCTTTTACTTGTCTTGAAAAAGAGTCTGTTGGGGACCTTTAATGTCATGGCAAACAGGAAACCCCATCTAACTCAATGTGTTTACAATCCCGCTCTTGCAAAATATTCTAAATATTCTATTAGTTTTTAATAAAGACTGAAAGAGTTGTTGGATGTGTACTGATGGTGAAATAGGAGTCATGTGATCCTGTTGTGGTTTGTTTATGGCCTAAGCCTAAGTTTATGGCCTAAACTGCTTTTACGTGTCAGGAAAAAAAAAGTTTAATTTATGAAGAATTTCATAATGAACACAACTGGTAAGAATGATAAACTTTTGTTGGTCACAGAGCTTATTTTCTGCAATAATCCAAAACTCAATGACAAAATCCTGTTGGGGTTTTGTCAAGGGAACCAGTGTGATGCCTTCCAGGTTGGCCTACAGAAGTACATCATCCTTGCAAAAACTCACAAAAGAAGATGTTTTGAGAAATGTACCAGTTTATTTATTTTATGTTTTGTCCATACATTGGAAGTCATTGTTTGATTTCCCAGTGTTCTTCAAAGTATCCTCATTTGTGTTCTACTTAGAGTGAGTGCCAATGACAGAATTTTCATTTTTGAAAATGTATTTTAGTTTTAATTATACTAAATACAATTAGCTAACCTTTAGAGAGCAAGCTTTTGGCTCACTTAAGTAGTACTTAAAAACATCTTCATGTGTGACTTCTGAGTTTCCTAAAAATATGAACAATATTAAAGTGTACTACCATACCAGTATTTGTGGTATGCTAAAATATACTTTAAAGCTATTTCTACTGATTTCCATGAATATTATTTATCTCCACGATACCACTGTCAGGCAGACCACAACTTGTGCACGACTTTCAAAAAGTCATATGAGAGATTTGTGAGAGGAACAGGAAGCTTTTTGGTTAACAAATGTGGTCATGATGAACGTCTGAGCGGTAAAAGTTCACTCTTTTTGGTCCACAACAAAAAATAATAGCGTGGGGGCGAACAGATTTTTAGGTGAACTATTTAATCCTTTAATTGATTGATTTTTGGTGGTCTTTTCATAGTGAAGCACACTGGCTGCTGCCTCAGAGGCTGCTCTGCTGAAGTGTTTTTAGGGGTATCAGGTGAAAGGTGTGAATGGTGACGTGTGTTTGGCTGTATCGTGCATCCAGCTCTCTTTTGTTTGACCTGAATGGCCATAAAGCTGAGCCACCTGACCCCAGCGATGAGACAGACACCTCACAGACCCAAACACTGCCACTACGGCCGCACTTGCAGCTCCTCCACCCCCTTCCTGCAAGTCAACAATAAAGCATGTTTCCAGTAAGCCGGATAGCTTCCCAAGTCCTGGCCATTACCATAGAAACAAACGCCTTAAGCTGACAGTGGTGTCTCTCTTGACCAAATGAGGCCACCCATGCAGAGAAATGCATGGCACAGCATGACATGTTCTGTACGTATATATAAACTCCACGAGCTTCTGATGCATCACATCCTGTTCTTGTGTTTATAGAAACTCTTATGGGTCATTCCTGCTATTCCTGCGTCTCTATAACTCACCATGTATTGTATCTTCTTTTTTCCTCATGCACAGTTAGGCATACTTTTAAATAGTGCAGTTTGTAACTTTTGTACGCTTTACTTTGAAGTACATTTTCAATTATTATGTTTTAACAGTCTTTTAGAAGTGCACGTATTTTGACGTGTCGACTAAAGTACATATTTAGAAACAGTCATGAAAGTGTCTTTCTTTAAGTATACCCAAGTCATATATTATCTGCAATAGTTTTATATTTTAATAAACTTTTAAGATTTGAAGTACACTACAAGTGCACAAACTTCAAACTAGGTTTCAAATGGTTTAAAACTTCTAAAGTCTTTGTCAAGCAATTCTGCATTGATAGCATTTTGTTTAGTATCCATATGCAAATGTAATATTATTATGTAATATTTGTACATTTGATGTTACATTTCCTTATATGAAATATATTGTCAAATTAAATAAAAACATACATGAAACCTATTAAATATTGGAACATTTTCATATATTAACCAGTGTTGGGGGTAACACATTAGTTACATAATCAGATTACTTTTTTAAGTAACTAGTAACACATTATTTTTACATTTATTTAAAAAAGAATGCAAAAATAACACAATGCATTACTTTCCATAAAATGTAATGCAATTAGTTACTTTTTTATGGAGTACTGCAATATTATAAAAGTATAATTACTTTTAAAAGTAACATCCCCAACACTGATATTAACATATAGCCCATACATATGTATGTTTACATTTTTGGACATACATGTGCATCCATCCTAAAACCCGGTCATACATAAATCAAATATACATTGTTGGCATTTGCTACATATATCATATTTAAAAAATCATCATATATATATATACAACCCTAATTCCAAAAAAGTTGGGACACTGTACAAATTGTGAGTAAATTTTTTTTTACAAATCTCATAAACTTATATTTTATTCACAATAGAATATAGATAACATATCAAATGTTGAAAGTGAGACATTTTGAAATGTCATGCCAAATATTGGCTCATTTTGAATTTCATGAGAGCTACACATTCCAAAAAAGTTGGGACAGGTAGCAATAAGAGGCCGCTCTACAGCGTATAATACTTTAGCTTCATTCATCAGACCAAAAGATAAACTGCAGTGCTTTACAACTATAGGACAGGAAGAGCTAAATAAACTTATCACTGCATCTAAACCAACAACATGCCTGTTAGATCCTGTACCCACTAAATTACTGAAAGAGTTGTTACCTGTAGCAGAAGAACCGCTTCTCAATATTATTAACT